TATTTGCCTTGAGCTCCAGCTAAAGCCCGGGTCTTGGCTGGCTTTTAATTGTCTTAACTAATTGGTATACTCGCTCGAGGGGTTCAAAAGAGGGTATATTTGGTTTTATTAATCTGATGTAAGTGTGCTAAATGTACTTAGTCAAAATATTGGAAGTTCTTTCAATTGGAGAGCTACGATTAAAGGACATTCTGGCTTTAAAAGTAAAGATGGGTAACATATATAATTTATAGAAATTATAGGACTACTCCGAGCCGAACAAACGTAGCCAGAAAGTTCTCTAGATCATTTTATCTAGAAATCATTCCCTTATGATAAGATAACGAGCATAAAATGCCCTCAAAGACATAAGATATATATTTTACAGTTTGAAAGTATTTTAGGCTAAACTGAAATTTATGAGAATTGCATAGAGAGCCAACATATGCAGCTGGAGTAAAAGACCACAGAATGATTAAAAATAAGTCTGAGGGAACATAAGCAACCAAAATATACAATTATTTATGATGATTCTCTATACAATAATAATGAATGATATCTCCAACGTACGTATACTTTATATAAGTGGTCAATTAACAAATTAATCAGCGCCCCAATGGACCACTTATCGTAAAGGCGTATGGCTTATATAAATGATCAATTAATCACTTATATAAAGAATAAATAAATTGCCTATACATATCGAGTTTACGGTCATTTAACCACTTACATAAAACTTTCGCCTTTCATCAATTGTCAAAAATAATAAAATCGCTTATCTTTGATAATCGCTCATCATGTCCAACAATCATAAAATCCATATTCTCTTCAGCTATCACAGTTTACAGGGTATACCAGACTAGCTCATGCGTCTTCACGCCTTACACCTGAGCTTTTTACTCGCCACTTCATAACAATAGATCTGAAAGACGTTAGCTGGCGTCGCATCTGGTTCGCGTTTAACTAATTAGTTAGTGACAATCAGGTAACACATAGGTAATTGGGGCTAATTCAGGCAGCTTGGCTGTTATGCAAACGCTCGGTAGCTGCAGATGGTGTTACACATGGTTAGGCAACAGATTGAGCTGCATCAGCTGATTGCCGATATTGGCCAAGAGGCGTAGGGCCCCGACAGTCGAGGAACTCTGTCTAGACATGACGTAATGTCATTTAAGGTCGTTCCTCTGCCCATAAATTTAATCACCGCACTGCCAAGAAGAAGTAAAAGAAGAAGAGCGCTGAATACGGCGCCATCGACTGTGTTGACTTATTGAAGAGGAAATTAATATTCAGAGTTGATCGAAGCAGCGCGAACGAAGCTGGACTGCTCAACTGGGGGATAACTGTGGCGCACTGAGTTCATAGTTTTGGTCACAAAAAAAAAAGGACAGCAGGAAGAAGCAGGAAGTACCCAGTAGTTGGGTATGAACTGTTAAGCAATAGGATGAATACAGAATACGATGTCCGGCAGGACATACCCCGTAAAATGCGGGTATTTATTGTATGCGCTATCTATTTCTGTGAGGACTCCACATAGCAGTAAGAAATGAGATATTATTTTTAAATATGTAATTCTTCAAACAATTATCAAGTTTAGTGTAGTATTAATGGAGTCTTTAAGCACTACCGGGACGAAAACTACGAAATGTAGATAGTTATTATGTGAATAGTTTTACAGATCTTACCTCTAGAAGTTGGATTCCTCTGGAAAGATGGACGTTTTCTCATTTTATGATAAAAATTAAAATACGTTTTTATTGACTTCAGCTAAGTTAAAGCTCTTACATAATCCATTAAGTGAGTTAAAATTTGATATTTACCTATTTGCCAATATACCTTTATATAATTTAACTAAATGGTGTATTTATCAATAATCCTTAATTTTTTATATTTTCTAGAGATTCACAGGGTATCTGTCGAGGATTGCTTGCTTCCTCTTTTTTTTTTTTTTTTTTTTTTTTTTAATTTTGCCTCAAGTTGTTCAATAACTTATATACCTACAGGGTATCTATACGAATATTAGTTATTCTTACAGGATGTTAATAGAAAAAAAAAAATACTAAATTTTGGTAGCATTTTCTACGTTCCATCTCCTCGAACATAAGCCTTGAAATAATCAAAGTCCCCTTTAGACTTGAAGTCAATTTGCATTGTTATTACAGGGTATTCAAAATGAGCCATTCATTTATTTTGGCCTCGTTGTCATACGTAAATTATGTGCCCAGCTCTCGCAATTTATGGCATATGACAATAGTCAAGCGGCGATCCAAGCATAAATTTTGATTATAACCCGCAAACGCAGCTGCTGCTGCTGCTGCTGCTACTGTTGAAGCTGTTGCTCCTTTAGCTCCTTCAGCTCCTTCGGTTGCTGCTGCTGCTTGCGAGCAGAATTGCGACCAAAGTTTGCAATCGTTGAAAAATCTTCAACTGATTGATGACAAGGCGTTGGTTGCACAACCTGTCTCTCTCTCTCTCTGTCTCTCTCTCTACCACTGTCCCTCTATCTGTCTTTCTCTATCTCCCTCTCCCTCTCTGTCTGTCTGTGTGGGTGTAAGATATTTGCTTACCGAAGCCAGGCAACAGGACCTTCTCGAGACACGGCGATGACTTCGTCATCAACATTTTCGTTGTTTTTGTTGTTGTTGTTGTCATCAGAGTCGTTGTCGTCTGTCGATAAACACGTTCATCGCTCATTTCCATTTCCGTGCCGTCTGCCAATTAGTGCGCATTACCGTGTAATAACACAAAAATTGTGCAAAAATTTTCGATTTTCAAACTCAACTGAACAACAATCAACAAATACAGTTCGACTTGACGAAAAATGCTGTGAAAACTAATTTTCTACAGTTGTTTTCCGCTCACCCCATCTCCCTATTTCTTCTCCCCGTCCCCCTGATCTACTTTTGCTATTTTTATTTTTTTTATTTTTTTGCAATGTTTGTTCGGCATTTGCTTTGCTGCGATTTCTTGATAATTTATGAATGACTGCAAATTGCTTTGGGTGCTGATTGAAAGCGACACGAAAAGTGCCGTAGTATATCAGCGTAGCGCAGCTCAGCCACCTGTCGGCCCCGCCCCCGTTTCGTTTCGACTCACCTTCAACTTCAACGTTGTTGGAGCGGCCATGCAAACAGAAAATCTGCGAAGGCGTCGCTGGCGCATTGTTGTTGTTGCCATTGCCATTGCCATTGCCCGTTTCCACGTTCGGCTGCGCTGGTGTTGAGCCGTAATTATTTGAGCGCCTGCAATAGAAAGAGACAGCAATATAATAATAGTATACAGGCAACTGATCGCACTTATACTCTACATTGTTTTCTTTGTTTATTTTTAGCATGAGAGGCGCAACTTACTGCAGCGCAAAAGGAATAGAACAACAATAGAGAATTAAATCGGCTGCCAAGTACGGTACTTTTCCAACACAATGTAAACGCTTACTATGCACACACACACACACACACACACACACACTACTCTCTCCCACTCTCCAACAGCAAAGCGCGTAATGAGCAGCGGGAATATAAAAAAACAAAGAGGGCGCGAGCATGAGTATAGGAGAGCGCGGCATGGATGAGGGGAGTTTTTTTGTGATAGGTGCTAAAATGAAAACTGCAACGAAAAATTCAATTTGAAGTTTTGTTACTTAACCCAAACTACGGGCGACTACTTAATGCCACGCCTTCGCGCCCAACTTCATCACACATGTGCACGTCTGTCTGATGTGGCCGTTGATAAGTTTGCTGTATGTGGGTGTGTGTGTGTGTTTGTGTGTGTGCTCGCGTAATTTTTACTACGAAAAGTGCAAATGGCGCTAAACTACTTGCTCTGCAAGTTTGCAACGCAATTGCCGCAGCAACAAAAAGGAGTAGAAAGAATCAGCAGCAGTGCAAATGAAAAAAAATATAAAAAATAAAAAACACTGAAGTGAAGTGAAGTGAGTATTTTCTTAGCACCTACAGCTACTACTACTACTACATCTACTACTACAGCTGCAACTCTTCTACTATAAGTCTCGCTCTTTTGCAAGCGAACTTTTTCGAGGCCTTTTCACACCTCTGACAGTTGTCGAGGATCCCACGGTCGGGCGCTTTTACGGCTATTTAACAAATCAGCAGCTCATTTGGCGACTTTGCTGCTCTTTATGTTAATTTGCTAAGATTTTCTACTTGAATTTTTCCCTCGCTTAATGCAAAAACTCTTGCAGCAAAAACTTTTCTGCTGCTGCCGAGACCTCCAGCCAGCCGCCTGCATCCCTTCGAAAACTTACGTCACAATCGGCGTGCCTTCGCTCTTCGACATTATTATAGAATAACAAAATGCGCACGAAATACAAACAGCAAAAGCTGACGAAGAAGAAGAAAAGGAAGAAACAACACACAAAAAGAACTTAAAACTCAACTTCACAATGGAAGCTCTCTCAATCAACTGTCGTAGTTGCTTATAGATCAACTGGATATGTCGAAAGCGAAGCTGCGACGACACGGAGATCAGCGGCGATAAGACTGAAAGCAAATAATAGATAAGTGACGGACAGCGTGATAAGAGTGACAGTCTAAAATATGAAAAAAAAGACAAAGCACAGTAACTGTACAAGTATGCATTGAGAAAGAGCGGATGGAGCGCAAAGGAGATACGCGGGAGCTATCTTCAATAAAGCCAAAGCACACGGCTTGCACATCACTTCTTCTGCGCACGTTACTATGTGCGCTATGCCCCGTTGACGTTTCCGTACCACGGTTAAAACTGCGGCACGGCGAGTGTAAATGAGTATTTGAATGGAATGCAAGTGGCCATCTCACTCACCCGCTTATATGAAACGGGAAATAGACAGTATAAATCAAATAAAAATATTTGAATTAAATTCTAATTGGAGCCAAAGTTGTGCAAGCGAGACAGCCATATAGCAAGGACTGCTTGCACGATCACCAGCAGCCATACTAGATACGTGCAAGCAGTGCACCACTGCTTACTTTGCTTACTCTTACAGACCGCTGGAATTGAACAGCTAAACGATATTTTTTCAGTAATTTTTAACAGTGGTCAATAAAGCTATATTTCTTCTTAGATATCAACAACTTATATTATCGACTTTTGTTTGATAAAGTTTTCGGAACAGTTTAAGTGCACAAAGAGAACGGCGGCAGCTAAGCGCGCCTGTAGCTCCTGTTGACTGAAATCGTGCGCCCATTCGACGCGACCCCAAAATTTCAGCTGATATTCTTCTTCAAGACGCGAAAGAGCAACCGCTCGCTCCACTGTAATCTTTTGCTCAATGACAGCGCAGGCTAGCACAATAGATTTCAACGTGTCCACAGCGAAAATGTAGCCTAAAAACAATAATTGTTATTAAAAACAATACAGAGACTCAAGGAATTTATAGATCTACCATGGAGCGTTTCCAAGTTGTACGAGTGAAAATGCTTGGCTATTTTCATTTTATCCTCGTCGCTGACTTGGGGTGGTGTTATGTCCATCGTTTTCTTCAGATTCGTTTCGAAACGCTGATTAAACCAATCGATAACGGGATCCCATTCATTTTGCTGCAGTTCCTGCAAATCCTTTTCATTCTGCGCGCGAAAATTTAATGGAATTATAAAAACTTATCGATCGGCAATTGAATCGCTTACATCGTATTGGAAGAGCACCGTGTCAGTGGCTATGAAATTTAGCAGATAATTCACCATATCAGGTTTCGTCAGCTTATTGGGATTGTCAATAGCCGTAAAGCAAAGGGCTGAAATGTGCATGCGAGAGCGTTCGATATGTTCCTTCTGGGCATCGAATTCGGTGGCCACAGCAATGGCTAACGGTTCACTCTTCACCGTAAACAATGTGCCGTTGGGTGTCTTCAGCTTGCGATGATCCAATGTCACCTCATATCCAGAGTCTGTGCTCAGCACATTCGTCGTCTTATAGAAACGCTTCGGCGGTGCGGCTAATGGAAGAATAAGATATATCGATATCATTTGTTTCTCTTTTTATTTTTTATTTGTTTTTGTTGCCGGCTCTTATGAAACCTATCCCATTGTTGTTGATTGCTGTCTCTCGCTCTCTCTTCACTCACCATATTGACGTACTAATGTTAAGGCGGGCGTTTGCCATTTAATACCGTTGCCTACGCGCAGCAAGCGTATTGTATTTGTTATTAACTGTTTACTCATTTTAATTTACCAAAATACTTTTAGCTAATCACAATGTGCACAAGTGCTGCAGTGTGACTATATTTAGGTAAGTAATAAAATACCATAGTCAAAAATACTAATAAATACCGACTAATCGTGTAATATCGATTAGAAAACAACTGCGCGCTGGTTTAAACTTTAAAGCATAGTTAAATAATAGATATAATCCCTTTCTTAGTTTAATAACAGAAATAAAAATATGTTTATTATATTTTCATAAATATTTATAATTCACATAATATCCATAGATTCCTAATTTTATTGCAAAAATTAAAATATTTATAACTCATATGATTTCCGTAACTCCTGAATTATAAATTTGCCAACTTTTTTTCCTTAATCAGCTGACTCATAGAGGAAAATCCGAGTGGAGAATCGGAGATCAAAATTAAAAATACATAATTAAAGCTAAATACACTTCATTACTTAAACTCAAACATAGTTTGTTGTCAACAAGGACAACTTTAAGATTCATTTAATACCACGCGTGTCCAGGTAGGCCATCCACGTCTCCTGCTGATGCAGCCAGAAGTCGAATGTTTGCTCCAGCTGTTGATATTCGCGTTCCTTCAACGCCAAATCCGCCAAATGGGCATCCCGCTGCTCGGCCAGTATCTCGTTCTCTTTGCGCAATCTCTCGATCTGGGCCAAAGTTATTTGACCAGTGCGGGGCATTATACTACGACGACGCAAACGACGCACCGAGGGTTGGCTAAACTCCGAAACGGGCGATGGCTGTGACTGCGATTGCGGTTCCAGCGTGCGATTGGCGGGCATTAGAGGTGAACGTTTCTCCGTTGGTATGGACTGCGCTGGCTGCAGGTGCTCCATTTCGGCCTTCAGTTCAGTCTTTATTTGTTGCTTGGGCGAGTCCAGCATTTGGTGCAGCTCCGCCTTCACCTGTGGCGCTGTCGCTTGATCTTCATAGAAGGGGCAGCTGTTCGGATCCATTTCGAACTTCATTGTGCGGCAATCGTGACGATTGAAGCGAGGTAAATTAGGAACTTCCCTGCGTATTTTCTCTTCCAAATCCTCAATCAATTTGCGCTCCGTAGTAATGGGGGGCGTGGTACCTGCCGCTGCTGCTGGCTGGAAAAGGCAGTCGACGAGCTGGTATAAACGCCAATCTGATTTATACTGTGGATCGCTCTCATAGCGACTGCGCTCGACTCTGTAATGGATGGGGTGTTTAACTTCCAGACTCTCCGTTTTGTTCAAATCTTTTATATTTACTCACAAATACTTGTTGCGGTAGCTGCTAATACGTCGTCGCACTTCCTGCTTGTTCAACCTTATGCGATGCTGCTGTAATCCAAAGGCGATCTCCCGAAATATTACCAGATTCTCCGTGTAGGAAGTTATTTCGGGCAAATGCTCGCGCCACAATTTCACAATCATCGCCTCCTCATAGGACGTATAGTAGCGCAACCGCATGTGCTTGGGGCCGCGCTTATTGCTCTTCGACTCATTCTCGGGATCGCTCATGTCGCTCAACTAAAGTAATTATCATGCGGGTTTTTTTGTATTTTGTTTCGCAAGTACATTTGTTTCAGATGTTGCTCATGTCTAATAGGGATGTGCAAGGGTTCCGGTTGTGTTAAATTTGACAAGTGCATGACTATCGATATATCGGATTGAAGTTATTTAATTCTTATATTTTGTATATAACATATTTCTATTTTCGTTATGCATATAAAATTGTGTTTTATTTTCCTAATTAATAAAATTTCTATTTCACTCATTCATATTACTTAAATAATTTATTTTTAATGTTGGTCATCATACCACTTTTATTGGCAATGTATTTTACTTTCAGTATGTTAATATTTTTCTGGGATTTTATAGCTTCCAAGTAGAAGGTCACACTCGTATGTGTACATTGAATTGTTATTGATGGGAGATTACCGATATATAATAAATGATTAAAATATATTTAGGATTTATTTAATGAATACTTATCAAAAATACGTTATTTCCTCAATGAGTTAAATAAAAGAGTTTCAACTTGTTTTAACTTCGGCAAAGCTAAAATTCATTCATAACCATTTCCAACAAGCAATCGAAAGTATACCTATCGACATTTTTTGCATATGCCAATCGATAGATGCAGCCATCCCTAGTTGTTGATTTTCTATGCGAAAAAGTGAAGCTGGTGTATAATAAATGTGGCCCAACAGTTTAAAAATGGATTAAGGTAATGCAGCGCATTGATAACTATTAACTGTTTCGATAGTAATTCGAAAAAGGATAAAAGTCAAGCCTGGTGCTCGCATGGACTACGAAAATTTGCCTGTGAATCTAGGCGGAGGGAGTGCTGCGGCCGGCGCTGGAAATGCGAACGTGATTGCGAACACAAATCCGAATCTAAATCCGAACGTCGCTGACGTCGAACCGGAGGCCACGATGTGTGGCAACCAGGAGCAGTTGGAGGTAAAGTCCAAGGAGAAGGCGCGACGTTATTGGACGCCCAGCGAGGAGGAGCGGCTCTATGAGATCTGGGGCCGGGACAATTGGCGTCTCACACGCACCGGTAAAAATACCGTTTACTTTGGCCAGTGGTCCGAAGAGCTGCGCGAACGCTTCGCCGTGGACGTAAAGCCAGAGGAAATACAAATGAAGGTTAATCAGACAAGAGCTAAATTTCGGTAGGTTTTATATCATTGGATTTGTATCGATTAAACTGTAAATCGGGGAAATTCTTGTACCTTTCAGTCAGGTGAAGAAACAGCTGCAAACGGATCCATCGAGTTTTCCTTTGCGCTGGAAAAAATATGATTTAATCAATCGCATATTGAAGAACTTACACAGGCCTAAAAATGCAGAGCCCTTGCCACCAGAGGTGTTACTCAACAATCGAGATGTGTCGCCGCCACGCGACGACGAGCAACAGCAACAGCAACAGCAGCAACAGCAACAGCAGCAACAGCAACAGCGACAACAGCAGCAGCAACACCAACAACAACAACAGCAGCAAACACACCCGCAGCAACAGTCGGTGCTTAATTTAACAGCTGAGCCAACGGCCAATAATTATTACAGCAACAATAGCAACAGCAGCAGTAACAATATCAACAACAACAATAGCAACAGTAACAACAACAATTCAATGAGCTTCAATACGGAACTGTTTACGGATCAGTATGATGATATCAAACAGGAATACGACGACGAGGACTATCGCTCAATGCCATTTCAAGAGCGAATGCAACAGTATTCACCAGCGGAGCCCGCACAGCTACTGGAGCTACAAACGCCGCAGCAACTGCAGCAACAGCAACAACAACAACAACAGCAGCAGCAGCAACAACAACAGCAGCAGCAGCAACAACAACAATTTCAGTCTGGCTATGAGCCAGCCAGCTATGCAGGCGGCTACAACAACAGCAATAGCAACAATAGCGCCCCAACATCCAGTATCAATCATCAGGCTATTACAGCGGTTGCCTACATCAACAGCACCAACAACACCATCAGCGTGGCAACAAACAGCAGCAATGGCGCACATATGCAGCCGCCAGCACTGACAGCTGCCAGCAGCAACAGCAACAACAGCAACAGCAATGCTGTGGCTACGCCAGTACCGACGCCACGCAAGCGAGGGCGACCCTTTGGCTCCAGCAATCCGCCGGCGGCCGACTCATTGGAGTCCATGTACATGGAGGAAGTACGTCGTAAGAATCAATTGCTAGCAGAGCAAACGAAGATCTCGCGACAACGTTTGGAGCTGGAGGAGCGCAAGCTGGAGCTGCTGCAGACGTTCTTCCCCAAGTGCCTGGAGCAGCAGGCGCATATCTTGGCGCGTGTCATGCAATTGCCGCACCTGCAGCAGCAACAGCAGCAACCACAGCCGCAACCGCCGCCACAGTAAAAACGCGACGAAGCAATGGATAGAAAGAAATCTTTTAATTCAATATATCCCGAGCCCCGGTAGCGTTCTATGTTTACCACTTAAACTAGTTGTCATAAGTCTAAAAAAATAAAATAAAAGAAATAAAAATGAAAATAATACTAATAATTATTGTAATACAAATTTAAGATCTAATTGAAATTTGTAGAATCTAAGGCGACAAAATGATATGAAATTTTCGTCATTGCATTAATGTCGTATCGGTCAATCGGTAGAATGTCCGTACTATATGTTTTAATCAGTACTCTCTCTTAAAATAAACAATATAAAACAAAACTCTGTTTATAACACTAAGCATAACTCTAAATAAAGATTGTAAAAAAAAAGAAATATTAAAAAGAAATTTATAATTAAAAACCAACAAAAAGTATATTATGTTTATATTGGAAGACCAATTAAATATATATTATATAGAGATCATATGGTGGCAATATAAATCAACAAAAGAAATCTAATATTATAAATCAATGTGAAATACATATATATATCTATATATCATCATATGATCTATATATACTATAATATCTATAATATACTATAATATCATTAATTGATTTATTTTTAGACTATTTAATATCTTTAATTCTTTTTGGTTTTAAACTGTGAGCCTCAACAATTTTGACAGTCAAAGCTTAACCCACTGCCATATGTCAGCTGAAAGATATTTATAGATAGGCTTATAGATAAGTTATCTTTTATACATTCAAGATTACTTTGGCATATCTTTAGTTCCTTTCATTTGTAATACCTTTAGTCTAGCTTTTCGATATCGTGCTACAACTCAACTATTTCCGTTTCTATTACAAAACTGCTTTATTAATGTGGAGTACAAGATGTTAAAGCAGTTCAGCAACTCAATAGACCCATGGGGTCTTTTCCAAAAAACAGTGAAGTCCCGCTAGCTTTTTTTTTTTCGCTGAAATTATTAATTTGCATGTCTGAGTTTCTATAAGAAAAAAATTAATAAATAAAAATTAAAAATAATTCAATTATAATTATAAATATGTAAAAAAAAAGTCTAAAAAAACAGCGAAAAATAAATAAATAATAATAATAATAGTAATAAAATAAATCAAATTTAATAATTAGTTTATTGAAATAAATATATTTCTTTAATTAGTCAAGTCAATGTATATAGTTGATATTTCTTTCTTCTTTTTTTATGCTCTTGCTATTTATTCATAGGGTATATTGGTATCTAACCTCCAGAATTTAGTTTGAATTATTATGATATGCTTTAATGTATTAATTGACATTATATCAAACTTGTTACGCTGTTAAGAATTGTTTCCACATTTCAAGTTTCTTTAAATTTAGTTAGTTATTGACTAGGGTGGTGCTAGGGTCATTAATAATGATAGTATAATTTGTTATATATTCATTTTTGGTACGTTTTCACACTTATTTTCCCAAGTGCAACCGGAGCTAAATCTTTTATGAAGACGAATTGGACATTGTCTGAAGCATTGTTTAGCGTAGCGCAGCAGAAGTTAATTGCACTTGGATAACAGGTGAGTTATCTAAGGTACGAGTTGGGAATTAATTAAAGTGCAAGAGTTGTTATTGATAACAATGGTAATGAAAGCCAATGCCAATTGCTGTAAAAATGTAGTCGTTACTTATTGTTTTTAATGCGTTTTGCAGGTGAAAAGATAACACCACAGCCAGAGCAAAAATTATTAGTTGGATTTTAGAATCTATACATAGTAAATGCTTAATATAAATAATAAAATCCATCCGCTCAGCTAAGTTTATTTTGTTTATTGATAGCTAACAGTGTTGTTTCATATTCATGATGTCACACCGTTAACTTAACAGACCGCTTTGCATAACCTACTATTACTTAATCGTGATCTAACATCGCTCAATCGTGGATAAGCGCTGTATCTCGTTCTCTCTCTTTCATTTACACTGTGTTTATGTTAATTTCTCGTTCGTATGCGACAGTGCAGCACGGCAATACCGGTGGTTAAATTCGCATTCATTTATAGATGTATGAATGTGTAATAATAATGTATAATATGTTTATGTATTTATGTATCTATATGTATATAGGTGTATATAAATTATGTATTTATGGGTCGACTATTCAATTTGTATTCATCATAATCAACTTTGAGATAAGCACATAATAACATAAAACATTTGATCATGCGTCGTTAACATAGTTGAAGTTAATTGTCAGTAATACATTTTAAATATGGAATAAATCAAGTTATGGTATAGTATATATACAATTTACAATTGTTATGGTATATATGTTATGGTATAGTATATTACAATTTACTTATATATAAGTGGAGGTCTACAGGGTATTATAAAGATGAAACAATTGTAAATTGTAAAATATTACCGCAAGATATTGCAAATATTCAATTTCATTAAATGATCATCTCTGCTTTAAAAACAGACATTACAGGGTATTCAATCGTCGACTAGCTGCCAGAGTTCGCCTTAAGATTGTTTTGACAAAATTAATTGATAAGTAATTCCTTATTGTGTGTGGAACAACCTAATTCACTTATCAATTCAAATCGAATTCGGGTATTTTTAGCGGTGCTCGGCTCTTCGATTGAGTCGCGGCAGCGAATGTTAGTTAACATTTTTATTTAAGTGGGTGTTAACATTGATTTCGGTTTCAGTTCAAGTTCTGTTGTTGCGTCGCAGCGAGCTGCTGCGCCTGAAGCTCGTTGTCGTCACTTTTATCTTCCGTTTTTTTTCTCACTTTCGTTTTTGCGTGTTTCTGTTTCTGTCTGTTTCTTATTGTTGTTGCTGTTGCTGTAGTTTTTTTTGGCGTAAAATTATGAATGTTGTTCTGGCGCTGCTTTTGCTGTGCGCGTTCGGCTTGTCGCACGCCTCGATCATCAAATTACCAACAGCTGATGATGAGAAGACGCCGTGGGACCTGCTCGGTGCCATTTATGGCACCTCTGGCATGCGCGGCTTCAATGGCACGTGGATAACAGGTGAGCTACTTATTGTTGCTGCTGCTACTGCTGCTACTTCTCCTCCCACTTGTTATCATCAGGCGGGGTATTATTTATGCTGTTTGTTGGTTTAACCCACAAAGCTATTCAAGCGCAGCTTATCGCCGTCGCATTCGTGCAGGGAGAGTCCCCGCAATGACAATGACGCGTGAGCTGAATAGATTCATTCTGTTGAGGTCATTTCCCTGTTATGCTAAGTTATCGCTTTGATTAATGTTGCTATATAGATGCTATTGTGTGTAGAGTTTATATCAAAAAGATCAATTTGTTGACCTTGGAATAATTTGCAGTCAATCTAAAATATATAAATATATATAAAAGTATATAGCAAGAATTAATATAACGTAACAAAATTAAATAAAACAAAAAATAAATAAATAAAAGTTCAACAAAATATGAGTAGTCCTAATTAAATTTATATATCTCAATTAAACAATTTATAAAAAAAAAATTAAAGCTATATATAAATTTATATACCACTTTTTTGCTCTTAACTTTCTTTTAGCTCAGTCGCCTGCAATCACGAGTTATACCCTATAAAACTTTCATATCTGTAGACCCTAAATAATAATAATCTAGCCGAACTACTTTCCGTTCCTTCTTATCTTATCAGCATATCTTGACTCAAGCAATCGAATTATTGTTGATTATCAAATTATAGCTGTTTGTACAGCCCTTACATAGCATGTGCGAACTGCTCTTGAAAAACTTGTTCACAAAAAAGTTCTTCAATTGTCTTTGTATAATTTTTAGAAAGAATCCAACAAAAGGGAGTTGGAGAAATAGATTCGCTGTTTCTGGGAGTTCAAGAATAGATCTGCCATTGTTAATAATTATGACAATGCTAATATACTTCACGACTTAGTTATCATCAAAGGGGTATAGAAACCTTTATTATGCAAGTCATTGGAACAAGTTTTTCAAGTATTTTTGACTTTGATTATTGAGCACGTTTGTTTATTGCTAGTTAATTTGTTTGCTGAAATGAAGAGTGAAATATCAATACACTTTAATGTTATTCATTTATTTAAGTACTAACAATGTGTGCTACACAGTTTTTGTGGGAGATAAAGATAGATAAAGAGAGAGAGATAGAGATAGATAGAGAAAATATGGAGGTGAACCATAAATATTTCAAACAATAATTTTAGCCTAGCAAATATAATCTTAAAAGATCTAAAAAAAAAAAAAAAAAAAAAAACACACTATAAACAATGAAAATAAATTTAAAACATGAATTATAATCTCAACTAAGTATTGCACATGAGTTTGTAATACCAGAAATGACACATATATTTAAGCCTCTTAACTCAAATAAGGCACTTAGAAATTGTTCTTGAGTATGAAGTAGATCAAGGTATTGCGCAATAATTAATTGTTGCTCCATTCATTGTCAACACAACTCCTATTAGCAAGCCCCATGATAACAAACAGCTTGACAAATACTTGAATCACGCCAGCTGACCAATTGTGAGCTAAATCAAAATACTATTCAGGTGTTTCTAGGTGCCTTCATTGACGTTGGTTAAACATTGTTTTAATTTAGGGTTTAATTAAAACAGAAAAAAAGCTTCAATATTTTACAAACAAGTTGTAAGCCTCTTTTAGAAATTCTAAATAAATTATAATGCAAATATAAATTATAATAAAAAATATATTTGTTGTATGTTTATGTTGAATTTAATAGTTAAAAATAGTCATATTCTAAATAATAATAATAATATGTATATATAATATAATATAATAATAATAATAAAACACTTTTAATTATAGACGAGGAATTCTATTATACGGCTAGTGATCGATCGATTCGCAAATACAATGCAGCCACAAAGCAAAATACAGTATTCTTGGAATCCACATTTTTGGTATTTATTCCAAATTAAACAAATTAAACTAATTAATAATAATAAATATAATCGTATATACATACGTTCTTAGAATACATATAGTGGTGCTACATTTACGCTCTCTGCGGATAATACCAAAATATTGGTACGCTACAATTTGACTGGGAAGTTCCGTTACTCGAATGTGGCCCAATACGATGTGTATGACATCGCAACGAACTCGGCGATCAAGATACACAAGGGCGAGAAGCTGCAGTATTGCGCCTGGTCGCCGCTCAAGGATCGGCTGGCGTATGTCTATCAGAACAATGTGCACATCCATTTCAACGAGAATCTGGAGGTGGCCATCACCGAGGATGGCAAAGATGGCATCGTGTATAACGGTGTGCCCGACTGGGTCTATGAGGAGGAGGTGTTGAGCAGCGGCAGCGCCCTCTGGTGGTCGCCGGATGGCACTAAACTGGCCGTTGGCTTCTTCAATGACACCAATGTGGAGACCTTCAGATATTTCCTCTATGGCGACACGGAAAATGAATACTATCAGTATCCACATGAGGAGCATCTGAAGTATCCGAAGAGCGGCACACCTAATCCGACTGTCTACCTAAGGGTGTTCGATCTGGCCGACAACGATCCTATCATGCAACGCATCGTGGCGCCCGTCGACATTGTTAGCTCCGATCACATTCTTCAGAATGTAGTCTGGTCGGATAATAATCATTTGCTCATCACCTGGATGAATCGTCGCCAGAATCTATCGACGCTGCAGAGCTGCACTCCACAGGGCGTGTGCAAGGAGGTGACAAGGATTGAGGAACCCGACGGCTGGGTGGCCATGAGTACGCCCAAATGCCTGAAGAATGGCCAGAACTGCATCTTTGCCTACTTCATCGACAACTGGTATCAGGTGTGGAATCTCAATTTGGAAACGGGCCTCAATAGCTGGAAATCGCGTGGCGAGTTCACAGTTCTCAATGTCTATGGCTATGATGAGGTCAACGATAAGCTGTAAGTATTTGGTATATACTTCTAACTACATATATAAAAGGGGTACTTAGTTCTATAAATATGTAATAAAGTCTCTCTAGGGCATTGTCAATGAATCCATTCTGATTTGTAGTGCTCTTTCAATTGATCAAGTTTTAAATACTTCTCGTGAGGTCAGTTATTAGTTGATCAATATTAAACGGAAATAGTACAAAATTAAGGCCAATTGAGATTTCTATGCCCAAGACAGCTAGAAGACATTGAATCAAACCTGCGATCACTTTCAATGTATCCTATCCAGATCCTAATCAATTTCAATCTATGACAAACAAAACAAATTTGAGCTCTCTAATAGTACTTCTCTTAAAAATACCAAAACCCTACCTAGAACACATTTATACGAATTAATGCATACACATTCAAGCTTATTAGCATTCCCATTTCCTATGATATGATTGTATCATAATCTAGAGTGCATAAGAAATGAGGGTCAATAGTCGATGTTGATCATCATTCGATATTCAAGCAAAATTACTGATAATCTATATACAACAGTTTTGTATATTTAGAAAAGTTGACGTTCCGATATTATCATATCGATCAATATTTATTGACGTCAATAGAGCAAACATAAATATTCATCTGGAGCTCCTCTTTAATTTCCGATGTACTTTTTTGTTATATACATATGCATACATGCGTGTTATATACGTATGTATAAGATATTAAAATTCATATATCGATCTCCCTCTTAATATCTTTTTCTCTCTAATATCGCTCAGTTACTATCAGGCCACACTGCCAGGTGATCCGGCACAGTATCATGTGTTTAGCAACGACGATTGCCTGAGTTGCAATAATGTGGATGCAGACGGGACCACGTGTCGTTCTGCCACTGCGACATTTAGCAAGGGATTCTCCTACTACACACTCAGCTGCACGGGTCCCAATCCCAGCTATACTCAGGTCTGGGAATCGGCCACACATACTAAGGTTACGGACTGGGAGCTGAATAGCGCTTATCGCGCTCAGGTGGCCACTAAACAGATGCCCACATATCGTTTTCTGAATGTCACCTTGGCAGATGGAAGCATCGGCATTGCCAAGTTGGCGTTGCCACCTAATTTCGATGAGAGCAAAAAGTATCCCATGATTGTTAATGTCTACGGCGGACCCAATTCGGTGCGAGTGACGAATGCATTCACTGTCGGCTACGATGCCTTTGTAGTCACCACAAGGAATACCATTTACGCCCCATCGATGGGCGTGGCACGGGAAATAAGGGCAAAAAGCTGCTGTTCTCTGTCAACAATGATTTGGGCGACCACGAGGTGGAGGATCAAATCTTTGTCACCAACTTGCTGCAACAAAAATTCAAGTTTATCGATGCCAATCGCACGGGCATTTGGGGCTGGAGTTATGGTGGCTATATGACAGCAAAAACTCTGGAAAAGGATAATGCGAAAGTATTCAAATGCGGTGTTTCCGTGGCGCCAGTTACCTCGTGGCTTTACTACGGTAATACGGATAGCTCATCATGGGTATATATTGTATATTTAAAATGAATTTCCTTCACTTAGATACGATATATACGGAACGCTATATGGGCCTGCCCACCGTGAACGACAATGAGCTCAAGTACAATGAGAGCAGCGCCTTCAGCAATTTGGATAATTTCAGAACTCATGGCTTTTTGCTAATCCATGGCTCGGGCGATGACAATGTGCATTATCAGCACTCGCTGTTGTTGTCCAAACTCTTACAGCGCGCTGATATACCCTTTGAGGAGCAGGTGCGTATGATATGATACTATAGTTATATGAAATTAGTGTAATTATATTTTATTCTTATAGACCTATACTGATGAGAACCACAGCATTGGCAATGCTTTGCCGCATTTGTATAATACCATAGATCATTTCTGGCTCAACTGTCTGAACAAAACTGCCACTAAAGGATAGATTATATATGTATATGTATATAGATTGGTACAGTATCAGAGCGAACTTTTACATTGGAAGCTATTTTTATTATTATTAGTGTATAATTTAGACTTTTTTAAGATTTTAGTAAAAGTGGTTAATTCATGTAAATCAGCTAAATGCCCTTTTGGAAACCAAATAACTCTATGGATAAATAATGCAAAGGTTAATTATGTTCCAAAGATATATCAAACTGTGTTATCGTTTCATAAAGCTGTCATCGCCTCTATGTAAATATATATATATATGAAAATTTTAACGAATCGATTTTTGAATACTCTATTAAATATTATTATTAATATTTTATATTATATTGTCTTCAACTTAATATTTCAGAGGTAGGTATAATACCATTATAATATAAACTTTTGTATATATTTTTAAAAATGTTTTATTTTGTTACCTTACCTATTTCTTGCTTCACTCATTTTGTCACACAATATATATTATATATATATGTATATATATATTAATTGTAAAGGCATTCATTACAATTGAAAATCCATTAAAATGGTCCGATAATAAACCATTCAGGAAGCTCAATAAAACTGCCTACGTGTATTGTGGCCAACGGTCAATTTAACGGTACATATTACAACCACAACGTCACAGCAAAGTTAAAAAATAATAATGAAAAGAGGAAAAGCGCTATAACTATTAACAATTTAATAACACAGGCATTTGGTGGGGCTCATAACCGCAAAGTGCATTAAACGGTTAAAATGCAAAATTAATGCCCTTGCAGATTGAGAGAGAATATGGTTTGAATTAATGATAATTACGATTACATTTATTGCAACTGTGTATATATCTTACACCAAAAGCGAGGATTAAATATGATTCAGAAGCAATTAATTAGGCTCAGTTTATGGAAAAGCTTAAAATTATACTGAAGGACTCACACGGCCAAATACATAAGTATCTATATTTGTATATCTACGACATGTTAAACGTAGTTGACAAACATAACGATGAAAAGTCGTAAAAGCAATATAATTGTAAATTTATTTATTTTTAATTATTCCTGATTTAAATAGCTCAGTGGGAGATAATAACAAAAAGAATTACTGGCTTTCACTAAAATATTGAGGTAATAAAATATAAAAGTCTGTTCGTCGTCGTCTTCGAAGCTGAAGAGGTGACATCGAAACAGGAACTGAAGGGAATACAAAAATAGATTATTTATTATATAAAATGTTATAAGTACATAAGGATTACTTCGAAGAGTTAATAATAATAATAATTCTTGAATTGTAAATTCAAGCATTGATTTAAAACATATTAAAACTTAATAATATCCTTATAATACGTTACACGTATAATACATTTACTTCACTCACTCCCTTAAATAGTTTATGACTTTTGTATACTTAAAATAAAGAAAATTTACAAGAGTTTAAACAACCTTAAAATGCTTGATTCATAACAGTATCTAATTTAAAAAGAATTAAAATGTATATTTTAAGAGTCAAATACTTTATTATTTATTTATTTTTGTCATTTTGGTTTTATAGAAATATTTCATGAAATATTATGTATTAATATACTCTTTTTTACCACAATATTGTAGGAAATAATTATATGTTTTTTAAATTTGTTTAGTAAATATGTGTAGTTTTTATATTTTTTTCTTAATTGTATAAAAAAAAAATTAGAAAATATTAACAGCCCAATTGAAGTTATCATACCATTTACAAATACGCAAATATTTACGTATATTCCCTTTAAGTTAGAGCAACTTTTTGTTTGCACTTTATAATGTGCTGTCAATCGCGAATGTATTTGTTGAACATTTGTTGATTGTTTTTTTTTTTTTTTTTTTTTTCAATCATTTGTTGTCCCCCATCTCTCTCCATCTCTCCCTCTTTGTTCTGTTCAGTCTTTGTTTTATTGACTTGCCTTTCAATCTGTTAAATTTGCTGCAACGTGCTTTGGCCTTTTGTGTGTCCCTCAGGTGTCGCGTCAGTTATGCATCGCTGCGCCAATGTGTGTGGCAAGCCGACAATAAAAAAAGGAAGAAAACTCAACAAAAACAAAGCACGAAAAACGAAAAACAAATGGAAATGAAATGCGAAAACAATAAAACAGTGAAGAGTAAAGGAAATCTGTAATGTTTACAACGTCGATGTTGGTAGTTGCATTTAAGCTGTTTATTCTTTGCTCTCTTTCGCACTCTGTCACTTTGTCTTCCTCTCTCTCCCTCTCTCTCTCTCTCTTTCTGTTGAGCTATTTAAAGCAATATTTTGTCGTTGTTTACATTAATTGTCTGCCTTTATTTTTTTAAATTAAATTGTCACTGTAAAATGTTAAATGAACGCAGAGACAATAACATATTCAGCAGGCGTTTTTATTTATCCCCTGCTGCATACATTTTTGCAGTTCGTCCAGTATAATTAAAATATGAGAGATGCGTGGGCCAAAAAGTGTGTATGAGTGCACTACTCACACAGAGACATACTAGCTGCAGGTATGTGAGTGTGTGTGTGACCATCAGTGCTTGAGCCTGATCTAACAAAAAATTTAATCAATATTCTCTACGTTCGGAATTTAATATGGAAATTATTTTATATCAGCTGAGTAGATTTTATAGTCATGAAATATTTAAGAACTATGAAGGTTTTTGTACTTAAATATGAATATATTTTTAAACAATTTGTGATGAATCTTAAAATTTACTAAAATACAACAAATATATTTTTTTCTATAAAAACATGAATAGAACATTTATATACTTTGATGATATATTTCTTGTATTATGAAATTATTTAATTTATTTTTTAATATACAAATATATATTTTTTTCTATACTAAAATTTAATAATATATTTTGTATGTATATTTATTTATATTTTTTAATATATGTAAATTTTTTTCCCATTACAACACTACAACATTTACTAATTTATTTAATTCATTTATTTTCTAAATTTCATTTTCAATAAATTTTATATTCACATTTTGTAATTTTATTTCTATTAGCCTTAAAAAGATCAAAATGGTTTACCGTTTTATGTTGTTTTAAACCCTTGCAAATATTGATTATATTTTAATTTTTATTTGACTCTTGTTTCCTCATTTCATATTTATTCCCTTAAGACCCTAAACAAGATTCATAAATATTTGTCAAGTTCTCAACTTGAAATTTTCTTCAACTCCCTTTCACACACGCACACATGTACACATGTATACAAATTCACATACGCACCTCACACACACACACACCGAAAACATGCCGCAAAGCTCTTTTCATATTAATATTAAAAATTGTTATTGATGTATTTTTTAGTCAAAGTTCATTCATATGTAAATATTTTTCCAGTAAATAAAATAGCAGAAAGAGTGCTCTAGCCGGATGTGAACGGTTAGCTGATACCCTGAACCTTGTGCAGAGCTTTTTATTTATATATTTTATTTATTTATTTCTTAAAGACATTAACAAAAACGGGAGACAACATAAAATTAAAAGACCTAAACAAAGAAAATAATTTCAATAGTATCACCAACCCGATGGGGGTATTTTATTTGCCAGTCCGGCCAGCTATGCCCACGTTTCATTGCCAATAATTCTTAAGATAAAAAAAAAAAAAATAAAAAAACAGAAAGAAAAGAAAGATTACCTCATATATAGGATAGGACACGTATATGGTAGTAGGGTATCTAATATTCATCGCATAATATATTTAATTGAAGATACCAAATAATTATTTTAGTATTATTATTTTTTTAATTGTGAAGTTTTTTTTTTTTTTTTTTTATCATTATTTCAATATAATTTATTATATAATTTTGTGTTTTTACTGAAAACACGTAAATTTAAATTTGATATTTTTGCAATTCATTTCATTTAACTTGTTTTTATTATTTTTAACATAATTAACTCAAAGTTTAACTCTTAAAAAACATGAAATATTTTTAAAATTTTAATAGCACATTGTGATTGGTCTGTCGGGAATTATATCTAATAATAGATAAAAGAAGTCCATGCTACGGCGCCGGTGGCAAACTTCGATTTCTTCAAGCCGATTTTTAATGCATTTCCATGTAAAGAAAAACCCATTCAACAAACGCCAAATCCCCGGGGCATTTGACAAATAAAAGCGTGGGAGGAAAAAAAAAACTGCTTTGATATTCGCTTCTCTTGCTTTCGCCCTTTCAGCATTCAGAATTGGCAAACAACATGGGTTTGTGGCTTATGCTTTCTCTTTTTTTTTTTTCAACATATATATATACTTTTTTTTTACAAATCAATCGATTTGAATCTATTGCTATTTTTAACAAATTTATATAGAAGACAGAAAGCTTTGATGTTACTTTTCCCATGGGCTTAAAAATCAAATGGGTACAAATATATATACATACATATATATAATAAGCATACGCCATGTGTGCGCTGAGAAGTTATTTAAGCTAATATTCAACATTTAGACGTTGCGCTCTGCTTATGTGGTAATTTGCTGAACCACATTGCGTATGCGTAACATGAGCAATCAAATAACTGAAAAGCTAGACAAGACTGTGTATGTATTTTCCTAGCGGGAGTTTACTGCATAAACAAAAATGTTGATTGAATTGAATGTTGATTCAATTTGAAGCATGATGGAAATATGTGATTTATTGATAGTTGAAATATTAAATTGTTATTGAATTTCATTTCGAAATCTATTTCAAATCTGCAATAAAGGAAAACTCAAATAATTTATTCATTTATAATTTGGAATTTTTACTCACGTTGGTATAACAAGCCTAAAAAGATATACCGAATATATCTATGCCCATGGAGAGCTAGATACTGAACCTAAATTAAATTAATTTATACAAAATTACTATATATAGGAGTATTCCGCGCTTTCTTGTCTATTTTAATAAGAATACTTATCTGAGTCTTTGTGAAATTGCAAATTGTTTTTGCCACATACGCACTTCAATTTCAATAATCCCTTTTCGTCTTGCTAAGTAAATTTTAGTTAGGCCCAAAATCTTTCTCTCAAAACGTAAGCTACACAAATTTCTTGCTCAAATGTTTGGGAAGGAGGAAAAGTTTTATGATTTACTGCACTGGCTAAACTTTTCTAATATAGACAACTTAAAACTCAATTATTTTAATTGCAAATATTTACGTATGTATAAGTGGCGAGCAGACCAATCCAAGGGAAACTTGCATAAACTTTTGCAACAAAGACAAATATGGTTGGGCGAAGAAACTAGAGCTTGCAAAGTGTTTAATTAAAACATCATAACACAAAACCCAAAAAAAACTTG